CAAGCATTTCTTCCAAGCTGAGAGCCTTATAAATTCCCAGACACAATTGTAGTCTTTGGAGAAAACTAGTTATGATGATGATTGCAGCCCTGGTGACATCTTTCCTCGTTGAGATTCACCAGTATTAAGGAAATTAAAGACATTACCTTAAAAAAGTGTATTCTGGAGGCATGTGAGGTCTCATCAGGCTGTGTCATCAAGCAAAGCCTTTAGGATTAGAATAGTTTGACTCAGGCACTTTTTTCTTTCTGGATCACACGCTTCCCTGCACCAAGGGACTCCTGTTCTCAGTGATTCAGTCCTTTGGAATGGCTTTATCTGTCTTTCAGAACATTTTTTCCCTTTATTGTTACAATTGTTGCTTCCAGCATGGTGAATTGTTCAGCACTTACTAATGGGTCTGGCTGAATCTGTTCCTTCAGTTCAACAGGGAACATGACATAGGGATATTCTTCTTGTCCCTTGATTATTTTAGCTGGGTGAGGTACAAGGGAGCCTCTTTGGGGGTTTTGACTTTTCTTTTTTTCCCCCCACTCATTCTTGCCAATCATGTTGCACGGAAATAAAGAAGCACAAAGGCTGTTAAAGCCATCACCCTTCCATAGGGGCAGGAGTGAAGCTGTGGGTCTTACTTTTAGTCCTGCTCTTGGTTTCCATTTCCATGAAGAGATTCTGAGGCACAGGGTGGTAGAATTTAGCTGGGAAATGGTCAACAACCCCTTAAAGCCAGCTGTGCCCTTGCTGCAGGTGGGCAGCTTGGCACCGAGCAGACATCCTGTCAAGCTTTTCTCTACAGCCCTTGTTTGGTGCTCAGTTTTGAGCACTGACATCATGTTTGCAGCTTGCCAAGGAGCCTTATGGAGCCCAGAGAGTCAGGAGGGCTCTCAGGATGCTCCCAGCCCTCGTCTGGGTATGTTGGTGTGACAGAGGGAGGTTTGCCTTTGGGCAGGTTTGCCTCTGTCCCTGAAATTTTGGATGTTGAAAAGAGATGTGGGAATTCACAGATCATCCAAGAATGTGAATGTAGCATCTGGCATCTAAAGGAAATAGTAGATGTAAATGTTTTTTCTCTTGCAAACCAGGAATTGCAGTGAGTGCAGCTGGGGCTGTGGCAATGCTGCAAGGAAAGAAAACAAAGCAGTGGCTAATTCTACTTTTCCTGGAGCAGTTGGATAAAGGGCAGTTGAAAAGAGAGAAAGGACCGAATGCAAGAAATGTTTTTCATACTATGAATGCAAACTAATCCAAGCTGGAATAGTCATCAGTGTTTCCAAAACTTAGCCCCTGAAACACTGAAACATTCAAAGAAATGAAAAATTAAAACAAAATTCCAGAATGAGTAAGAGGCACTGAAAGAGACTGAATACTTTAAGGGCAAAAGAATCCCCGTGGGAGATGCTGGGGCTGGCAGGGCTGTGAAGGGCACTGTGGAAGAGATGAGGGGTGGTCTCATGGGGTGAGCTGCTCCCAGAGCTGACCTCCCCACACCTGAGAGAAGCCCACTTTCTGCTTCTCACTGTCAATCTACCACCACTCTCCTCCCTGAAGGATGTCCTCCCTGCACAGGCCATGTCACTGAGAGGCATTTGCCTCCTCTGCCTCCTCCACCTCTGTACCAAGATCCAACTCAGTAACTGAAGTCTGGGTTGAGAGACTGAAGCTGGAAATTTTGTTATTGTAGAGAAATACTTGCTTCTGAAGGAAAGCAATTTTTTTAAATAAAAGTTTTAATTGAATGGGGTAAAATCGATTGTCCATGGCTAAAACTGCAGATTGTTTTTGATGATGTTTATGTCATGGTTTTCATCCAGATTTTCAGTGAAAAAACAGCATTTTCAGAACCCAAATGCATCGTGCAGAACCCCACCTATTCTCCAATCACTCTCTGAAAAAGAAAGCTGTTGTTCACAGGCAGGTTTCGTAACTGTGTGTTCATGGCAAATCTGTCTTCAGCAGTGTTTTCTTTCAAATCTTCATCTTCTGTATCACTTATTCAAGTACCAGGGCTCTCAATTACTGTTTGAACATTTGTAGCTGCTGGTAAAGTCTGACTGGGGTTTTTTTGGCTGTTTTTCAGAAACTTCAAAGCAGTTTTTAGTCTACTCCATCTTCCCATAGGAGTTCCTTTCAAACTAAGGAAAAAAGACATGACAGAAGCTTCCACAGCAACTCCCCCCTCTCTACCAGTGTGACCTGGCTGCTGAACAGCCTGTCTGGCTTTTCCTCCTGGTATTGAATCATCTGGAAAGCAAAAAACCCCCAGCACATTGCCTGAACCTGGCAGTGCTTGAATCCATCTCCTGATGAACCTTGGCTGGCAGCTGCCATGTCACCATCTCTGTACATCCTGTCTCTGCTGTATCCATTGAGCCTTCTTTGCCAAGAGCCAACCTTCTGGATTATGCATATCAAATTCCATGTCCTGAGCTGATAGAGAGTCCCTTGGTTTTACTTTACAGCCATTTATAGTCATAGGGAGTAACATGACATTTTAGAATATAACTTTGTCCTTTCTGGCTGTTGGGAGTGACGTGTCTCTACCTGCCTTGAGCACTTTGCTGTGAGTGACCTGCATGTGCCACAGCTGGTCTCCACTGTGTGTTTGGCACATGGAATTACAAATAATTGCAGGTATGTTAGAGAAGTCACAGAAAACCTGTCAGATATGTTGTACTGAGCTTTATAAAGGCAATGGCCTGGAACCGACTCTTCCTTTGGCTCTCGGGAGTTCTCCCTTGCCAGATGAGGGAGACTCAGCTAATCCAGGCTGCTCTCTAGGAAAGGACATGGTCCATAACAATACAGCATTTAGATCCAAGGTCATGCAGCTTCTCTCCCATGTTCCAGTTCACTGTGATTAATTTATGTCAGGCTTCACTGCAGAAAGGCTGGTCCAGCGTATTGAGTCATTTCCAGCTCCTAACTCAACCATCAGCGCCCTAGTATCCCACATGTGTCCTCCATTGTCTGTCCCTTCCCTCTGTCTGCAGCTTGAGAATCCAATTACTCTGTCTTCAGGAAAGCTCTGAGAATAAAAGCTCAAATATTCTTTCAAGGGGATGTAATTCAGTATCTGGCAGAGACAGTCTGTGCCCAGCACCTTCCTCCCACATTTTATCCCACAAAGAGGGATTTTATCTCTGTGAAAAAACAAAACCCATGGAGACTGGTAAATTTACCACATCAGGAGTGGTAAATTTTATGATTTTGCCTAAAAGTCTGCCCTCAGTAAATGAGAACCTTTTGTAAAAGCTGGGTTATATCTGCAATGGCTCCCACATACTGCGAGAGGAGTGCGAGAGGAAGCTCGTGGTGAGTGATGTGAGTGGGATGCAGGAACATGCAGGTGACCCCCGTGCTGCTGCAGGCTGAACAGACCTGTCCCTTTGGACACTCTCTAATGGCTCAATCTCTTCCTTCCATTGTGTCCCCCCAAACTGCCCCAATATTGAGGTGAGGCTGCCCCAGGGCAGAGCAGAGCAGGACAATCCCCTCCCTGATGCCCCCAGGACAGGGTTGGTCCTCCTGGCTGCCAGGGCACTGCTGACTCAGGGCCAAATGGCCACCCACCAGCACCCCCAGGGCCCTTTCCCAGCTCTGCTTTCCAGCCTCTCATTCCCAGTCTGTCCGTACATCCAGGGTTGCCCCATCCCAGGGGCAGAATCTGGCCCTTGTTGAACTTCCCATGGTTGGTGATTCCCAGCCCTCTGATCTGTCCAGGTCTCTCTGTAGGGCCTCCCTGCCCTCAAGGGAGTCAACAGCTCCTCCCAGCTTTGTGTCATCTGCAAACTTGCTCAGTGTCCTTTCCAGTCCTGTGTCTGAATCACTGATGAAGATGTTGGAGAGCACAGGGCCCAAGGTGGAGCCCTGTGGATCCCCACTAGTGACAGGTCACAGTCTGATGTCACCCAGTCACTGTCACCCTCTGTGCCAATTGCTCACCCCCACAGGACGTGTTTATCCAGCCGTGGGCTGGACAGTTTGTCCAGAAGGATCCTGGGAGACACAATATTGAAAGTTTTACTGAAATCCAAAAAGATCCCATCAGCTGGCTTCCCTTGATCAGCCAGGCGGGTCACCTTGTCAGAGAAGGAAATCAGGTCTGATATAAGAATCTGCATGGACCTGTGGGGACAATTTTATTCGGTTTTCAAGCTCAATACTCCAGTAATGAAAGCATTTTCTGTATGTCTTCATGGGAGCAGGCAAGGGCAAGCATTTGAATGTGTGTACCTGCTGAGCCCCTGGTAACAGCCTGGGGAAAAAGGCTGCATTGCTATTATGATTTGCCTCATCATTAAATTCTCTCCAATAACGGAGATGAATCATGTCTTTAGAAGTAATTTCTTTAAAATTAGCCTAAATTTAGGTGCAAGAGTGAGCAGCCTTGACCCTGGATGCTTTTACATGTTGTACAATGAGCGTGACTGCTGAATTATCTCATTTCTCTCTGTCAGGCAGGAAAAAGTCACTGCAGGGAAGTACATAAACCTGCCAAGCCCAGGGACTTGTCCCCAACAGCCTCCTTGGCCTGAACTGTGGCAATGACCTATGAAAATGCTTGAAATCCGATGTTTTAATGTTCCCAAAAATCTGAAATTTTATAGTACAGCTCTGATTTCTCTGGCCCTCATCCACACTGGTCTGTTGATGAGATTACATTGGATCACACTAAATCTGTTCAGAAGATGTATCTGCATCTTAATTGACATTTCAGCAATTTCAAAAGAGCACCAGAAAGGAAAATCCTTGGATGTTCTCTGTCTGCTAAAAACTCTGGGATGGAGAGAAAGACTGATACTGTGAAGTAGTAAAGATGCTTCACCCCATGTAGCTGTTGTGCTGGGTGCCCAGAAAGGATCATGGCACATCCACTCTCTGTCTGTGTTTTGCTGCTCTCTAGATCTGCACGTCAGACTCTGCCGTTGCCCACGTGTGGGTTGTGATACACCTCAGGATAAACTGGGAAGAGATCTGCCATTGGCTCCTTCCCCCACGGTGTGTCATCTGGCAGCTGTGCATATCACAGGGAACGCAGCGACCACTCGGCTGCTGAGCAAAGCTGCTTCACTGGATAGTCAGAGATACTTGGAGGGGAGAAAGCAATGGGAAAGGCAGCCCTTGCTTTTTTTGATTCTGACAAGCTCTGAAAACTCTTGAGAAACAGAAACCTGATGGATGAAGGACTGTGTGGAGAACCAATAAAGCAGATTTCCAAGGATAAGTTGCAGATAGAAGAACAGTGCTCAAAAGGAAATATTCAGTAGGATTTCTTCATTGGTGCAGAGGGAAAGTGTTTGGGGATCTCTGATATTTCAGCCTCCGAATCAGCTTCCGTGTGGGGGACATGTGGGACTTAAAAAGGACAGCAGAAGGAGAGCCCCTAGGGCGAAGCTGACGTGTCCTCAGCACAGGGAGAAGGACCCAATTATCAATTCTTTTCTCTGGTTTTCAACCACGGGGCAGATTTTCAAAAGGCAAGTGTTCCCTCCTGCCACCACCGGCTTTAGCAGCTGAGCTGGCAGAAGGCGCAGAGGAGCGTGATCAGTGCCAGGGCTCTGCTGCCCCAGCCATGAGCCGGCACGCCTGGTTCCCCCTGCAGTACCTCCCCAAGCCCTTCTGGAGGGCACAGAACAACAGTACAGCCAACTTCTTCTCTGCACTGTATGGCTTCCCTAACCAATCCTTCTTGCACAATGACTTGGACCTGGAGGACCTGGGCGACTTTGACAGCGGGGTCAAGTATGAGGGCGAGTCCCAGAGCCGGCTGGTGAAGGCACTGCTGATCATCGCCTACTCTGTGATCATCTGCATCTCGCTCTTCGGCAACATCCTGGTGTGCCATGTGGTGATCAAGAACAAGAGGATGCACTCTGCCACCAGCCTCTTCATCGTCAACCTCGCCATCGCCGATGTGATGATCACCATCCTGAACACCCCCTTCACCCTGGTGAGCCCGGCCGTGCCTGCTGGTGTCTGTGTGTGCTGTCAGCTGTGTGCAGGAGGATTGAAGGGGCCGGGACCAGGCTGGGATCCAGAGTTTCTTTTGCCCCCCTCCCCTTTTTGCCTCCCAGAGAGGCTGCAGTTGTGCTTCCCCTTCCCAACAGCCCCTCAGCAAGTGGAGACTGGGGCTCATGCCCCCACCTCACATTCCCTAGCGGGGGTCGCTTCGCTGCAGGCCACCCCCTCTGCCCGGGCAGGGCACAGATGTTGGAGACCTTTTGTCTGTTGATGGGGAAGGAAGTGAGGACTAGTTTGATACGACAAAATCCAATTAATGGCCAGTTTCCTATGGAAACCACGTGCACAAGGTCAGGCCCTGTGCAACATCTCAGGGAAGTACTTGGGCTGTGCTGAGCTGGGTCAGCCAGCAAGTCCCTCCCTCAGCACTACAGACAGTGCTTCCTGGGGCTGATTGTCCTTTCTTTATTTGCAGTGACTAACAAATACACAATATAAAAGAACATTAAAGAATAGGTGGGAAGAAGATGAATTTCTTGCCCCACTATTACAGACTATAAACATCATATAACTGGGACTCTGTAGCTGGATTTGACCCAAAACTCTGATTCAAAAGCATGCAAATATTCCTAAATTCCGCTGCTTCATCCCTGCTCAGCATTATCCAGAGTGTTGTTCTTCCTTCCAAAAGCAGGTCCCAAATTAGCTATTTGAATTCATGCTGATCCCGTTTCTTTGGTGGGATTTCCCTGCCTTGCTCTGATGGGATTTGCACTCTGTAATCTGTTCAGGGAGAGGCTGGTGCCCTCTTGTGTGTTCTCACACCAACAGCTATACACTAAGCACAAGTAATTAAATATCCATCAGCTCTCTCAGGAATGAGCTTTACCAGCACTCTGCTCCAGTTCAGGGACAGTCAGTGCTGCAAGAATCATCCCTACAGGGAAATTAATTAGATTAATTGAAAACAGTCTTGACTAATTTTCTGCGTGGACAGATGCTTTGTAGTAAATGTGCTTTACTTCAAATTAGCTTAATTTGCTGCAGAATGACTTACATTATCTTGTAATTAATATTGTGCAGTCAGGAATAATGAGGGAGTGAGGCAATTTGGCACAATCTTCTCTGCAGAAAAGTCATCATCAGTAACGCCTCTCTAGGAACATGATTTCTCTCTCTAAGTTTGGAGCCCATGCAGCTTTCAACATCCACATGTTCAAAGGTGTAAATGTTTTCAAGGAGGCACCTAGTGTGCCCTTCAGAGCCTCATTGAGGAGCAGAGCTAAGGTTTCTTTACGAGTTCCTGAAGGGCTGTGGTACATGCACATGCAAACACACACACAGGGCACTGCTCAGTCTCACCACTGCTTCAAAGCCCCTTGCACAGTCATTGTTTCTGCAGGAAAAACTGAGGATAAAGCACCTACAAAGCCTTGGGAAGCTGTATTAAAACATTTCTTCTGTACCATGTGCCTGGGAAGCCAGTTTGCTGCTCTTCAGGTATGGGTCCTGTTAATGCAACGTTGTCTGTCCCTCAGGTGCGGTTTGTGAGCAGCACCTGGGTTTTTGGGAAGCTGATGTGTCACATCAGCCGGTTTGTTCAGTACTGCTCTGTCCATGTGTCTGTGCTGACCCTTGCTGCCATCGCTCTGGACCGGCACCAGGTATGTCGTATTCACCACCCCTATGTTTCATAGAAAATGAGGGACTAAATACATGGTTGTTTCCCCCTCAAATCCCAGTACCTGGAAAGCTGCACTGACTTGGGACTCAGGGACTGCAGGGAAGAACTCCAGCTTTCATGGCAGTCGACAAAACACCCATGTTTTTTACAGTGAGTGTGATAAACGAAGAGGCTGTGGAGTCCCTGTCCTTGGAGATACTGAAAAGCCCAGGAGATCAGTGCTGGGCAGCCTGCTCCCTTCCTTCTCTGCCTGGGCTCTTGGGCTCGTGGACTCCCTGCCCTTCTGAGCCCCGCTGGGAGCACAGCCCTGACAGCATGACAGGATCATGTGCTGCATGCAAACACCAGCCAGCCCACACGTTCTCTCCACATGGAGAGTCTGTTAGTTCTGAGGCTTGCCCCATTCCTTCAGGATGCCTAAGGCTGGAAGCAGCAAGAGCTATGTTAGCCCATCTAGTTCAAGGTGAGGAATTCTCCTCTCCTCACCCATGCCGGCCAGGAAACCTTCCAGGCCAAGCAAGGAGTGCAGATCAAAGAGCTTCCTGAAGTGTAACACAGTTTGCAATTTGTACTTTAGCTGATGAATGCTGAGCACTGCGAGGGCAGATCCAGCACAGTGAGCTCTCAGGCAGACCTGGATTTCTTGCAGTGCTGGAGCCACTGAAACATTTGTTACTGACAGGCAATGTCATGTGATATGGCTGGATGAAGTTCAGAACAAGAATGGGTTCCACTCGGGGATGGGCTCCATCTGGTGTCAGAGAATCACAGGGACTACCGGAGCACAGATCAGCCAATTCTGTCTTTTTTTTACCATAAAGACTTTGACAGTCTGCCTGTTTCATGTGCAACATTACAGCTCCTGAAATCAAAGCATTTTGATAGTGATTTCATTTTAATCAGTAGATTCTGGGTTGATTGCAAGGCACGGCTAGGTATCAAGAAGTGCTTGTTTAATTAAGGGCAAACACAATACCCATCCTTAAATTCAGTGGAGATGGTTCCTCAGAACTGGAATGAGCTAGTATGGCCCAAGGAGATAAAGATAGAAGTAAGGAGATGTCTCTCAGCAAGGGAAATCAACACTTGCCTCTAAAAATATTGCTAGTCCTGAGAGGTACCAGAGCAGACAGATGTTCCATGGAAGTTGTACTACTTCACTAAGTAGATATTAATAATGAGAAAAAATATGCATAAAATACCAAAGACTTCATCAACCAAGAGATCATTTGGATGATATGATAGGTCTATTCTTAATTATTGTTTCATTGCCTAATGTAATTCCCCATAGTGTGTGTACCTCAACAGAGATCTCAGCACCGTGGTCTCTGGAGCCGTGCTGATGGGTGTCAGGGAGCATCAGACTCTGGGCCAGCAGCAGCACTCAATACATGCACAACTCCATGCATTTCTCAGCCCTTGTACTCCCTGAAGTCCTGTAAAATAAGTCTCTCTGCCTTTTAACACTGGAGGATGTGGAGCTGCCACACTGCAATATGAGGCTCAAAGAGTAACCCAGCTGCTGTAAATCCTCAGGAGTGGTTGTTCTCTGCAGGTGATCATGCACCCTCTCAAGCCACGCATGTCCATGGTGAAAGGAGGGATTTGCATCGTCATCATCTGGGTTCTGGCCAGCTGCTTCTCGCTGCCTCACGCCGTTTATCAGACTCTGACAAGGTTTTATATTGGGTAAGACATTTACATGGTGCTTTTTGTTATATGACGTTTGCAGCTGAATCAAAGCCCCACACACGCCAAGGCCACACCTCTTCATCCATGTTACTAGAAAGGGTGGCGAAACAGAGAAGTTGTCCTTCCTTTGCCTGAGCACTGTGTGTCTCATGAAGGGACAATGACAATTGATGGAATTACTTCCAGGCTGGTTCATTAGTTGTTTTGGACTCAGAGATTCAACCTTGTAATTTGGGGCAGGCACAGAGGAGAGGGACTACTCATCAGTAGAAGACACGGATGTCACTATGGATGATTTCTTTCTTTTCCTGGGGGTGTGTTTAAGATACCTTCACTGGGGCCAAAGGTCAAATCTAGAGAAAAATTTTCCATTGAGAGTGACACCTACCCATGATACCAAATGAGTTCTGCTACCTGTACCTGAACTGAAACTTGTTTGAACATCTGAGGTGTTTGTCCTCAGCTGTGTATAGCTGTAAGAGGAATTGAGATTTCTTTCTCTCTTTGATCTTCAGAAACAGAACCATCCGAATGGTCTGCCTCCCCAGCTTCCCTCCTCCTGCTGACCTCTTCTGGAAATATTTGGACTTGACTACGTTTGTTCTCTTGTATGTCCTGCCCTTGCTTGTGATCTCCATCACGTACACCATGGTGGCCAAGAAGCTCTGGCTGAGGAATGCCATTGGGGACCTCACCATGGAGCAATACTACGCTCATCAGCGAAAGAAGAAGATGACGCTGAAGATGCTGATGGTGGTGGTGGTTGTGTTTGCTGTGTGCTGGTTCCCCCTGAACTGCTACGTGGTGCTGATCTCCTGCAGGGCCATCCACAGCAGCAACGCTCTGTACTTCGCTTTTCACTGGTTTGCCATGAGCAGCACCTGCTACAACCCCTTCATCTATTGCTGGCTGAACGAGAGCTTCCGCGCGGAGCTCCGGGCGCTGCTCTGCGTGTGCCGGCGCAGGGCCACGGCCCAGGGCCACGCTCTGCAGTCCATCTCCCCCCCGTGCCAGCACGCCTGGGCTGAGAACTGCCGCTACCAAACAGGCAGTACCTGTCAGAAGGCACAGACACCCTCTCAGAGGAACTCTGCAAAGACAGACATATCCAGTGTGCAGCCAATTGTGGCAGAAAGCTGAAGCCCTCACCTGACAGCTGGGCAGCATCACGTTGTGATTGCAGAATCGTGGGGAAAATGGAGCTGGAAAGTTCTGTGGAGACCATGTAGTCAACCTTCCGCCCTTCTGCTCATTACTCTGGGCTAAATTAGTCAGGCAGAGTCTATTCTTGCCACTCATCCTTCAGCAGGACAGCACCCCGGGTCAGTCCCTGTGGAAGGACGGATGGTGCAGCCAAGCTCAAACCCACAGCTGCCTGTGTGACCTCTGCAGTGGGCAGACATTCCTCGCCTGGCCCAGGTTCTCCGAGGGACAGTTTGCTCCTGGATGGAAAACTGGTGTTGTTTCCTCACAGCACATCCCATGCTGATCCTTCACAGCAGCGCTTTCCTCACTACGAGCCTGCAGTCTGGCAACATTGAGCTGCCTTGTAAAACATCGTTTCTTTGAGATGGTTGTTTTTGCAAAAGTCTGGCAAACTTCACCCCCATCACACACAACCTCTCCCTGGATGCTCTTGCATATGAGCTCTGTCAAAATCTCTGTGCGGTTATAATACAACAAGATTTGATCCACTAGTGTTTTTCGGGAGCTGATAACAGTCAATAAAATACTGGTTCAGGGTCCTCTCTCTCCTATGGCTTTTGTGTAACTTTTGAGTTTTGAAAAGGAGATGCTATTCCCTCTTATGAGGGGATTAGCAAGAAAGCATAGAGTGCTGCTCCTGGCAGTCTCAAATCCACAACCCAAACTTCTGTCTCCATGTGTTTTGACATCTTTCAGCATGAAAAGCCCTTTGCACAAAGCAGCGCTGTGATTACCCAGGCGGGGAGTCAGCTATGGATGTGTCCCGACTGCAAAGGCTGTGCCATTCCCATGCACTTCCCTGCAGCTTGTGCAGTCAATGCCTGGTCCTGGTAGCACTTTTTGCCTGGTGCCTCAGGTAGGAGCATGGGCTTCTTTGAGGACAATTCCTTGAATTTAATACTTATTCTTCAATAAGCACTTCAATAAGCAGAAGCACAGCCTGATTGATTCCTTGTGCATTTCTCCCTGGGGCTCCTGCTGGGATCCTCAGCCATCCCTGTCTCCCTTCCCCTTGCTGGGGACCTCCTGCTCTCCCTCACCTGCCCCCAGGCAGGAACAAAGCAGGAACCATGCACTGCTGAGGCTGCTACAGCTCTGCCACTCTTGAAAACTGGTTATCAAAGTCAGATTTGTTTGGGAGGGGCTGCTTGGTAACAACATGTGCACTGTGACTGTGCAGGACCCAGGCTCGCTGGGCAACTCTGCAAGCAGGACAGCAAGGGCTTAGAAAGGTAACCTGTCTGTCCCTCTCACTTTGGCTCTAACTGTGGTGAGAAGACCCTGGTGGTTTCATTCGTGGGGCACTCTGCTCCCCATGGGGCTCTCTGCTCCCCAACACACAGCGATGGACACGCCAGAGGGGTCACCTGAACTGAGAGTGGGTTTGGGATTGTTGCTATTGCCGAAGAGCCCAGTGCTCCTTGTGCAGGAGATAAGCTTGCCAGTGAGTAATTATTAGCTAATTGGGTAACTATTAAACTGGTAAAACCAATTTACTTCGTTTGCCACTTTTCTGCTACTGTGGACTTTGGCCTTTTTAAAATTTTTGATCCCTGACTCTGGTACAGGTATTGCTTCTTCTTGATGATTTTCCTTACAAGAAAGGTGTTAACTTGAGCAGTGCCATCAATGGCACAGAGACTGGTCTGTGAGGTGAGGAACAATGGGCCTGGTGTCCTACACACCAAAATGAGAAGTTATTCTGTTTTTCATAGAAGAACAAACTCTCATCTGTACCATCAGCTCTGACCCTTAAACTGTCCCAGATTCATTTTCATTTTTAATATTCTCCTGACAAGATGTGGACAAGAGTAAATGGGGTTTGTATTGATATTCACCTCACAGGTAAAGTGTCCCTCCAGCCACAGAAACCCCCTGGGCTGTGTGTGGGCAAGTGTCTGGGCCTGGACAGGCACCACAAAAAGATGGGAGAGAAGCTTCAGGCACGGGGACACTGCAGGGAGAGCAGGATGGAGCCTGGAGGGGACCGAGCTGCTGCCAACTCCTGGGATGACCAAGCACCTGGAGGAGTGCAGGACATGGACAGGGTCCCATCCCATCTTCCACCCACTGTAAATCCAAAGGCCAGGAAGAGCAGAGTCTATTTTTCAGCTGGAATGCATCACACTGAGGTCCTGGCATCATTGAAGGTCTTGTGATTCTTTACAAGCAGCATTACCAACACAGCTTGTTTACTTCATTTATACACCTGTGCTGGCTTGGCTGTTTCACCTCTGCCTGTCCATGAAATGCAGGGATTGATGTCTCTGGTGGTTTATTTATTCATGGTGGTTTGCTTTGCTTTGTTCCAGAATGTTTCAGTCAGGTATGGAACTGACTTCTCACGTGAGAAAGTGCCCTGATCTCTGCCCACTCAAACACCCCTGACCCATTTGCTGTAACTGGGGTGTAATTCTGTGGGGTTTGCCCTGCAGATCCCAGCTCACTCGGCTCCTGGTGTTTCCAAGGAAGTGTTCAGTTAAAAAAGCAGGAAAATACACAAGGCTTATCACCACAAGCGGTCTCGGGGAGCCCAGAGCTGAGGTGCCAATAACTAATGACTGGGGCTGACTGAGGGCCACCGATAAGAGCCAAACCAGCGCCGTTAGTCGGAGGCTGACACGAGGGAGGGCACGGGGGGAGCGGGATTGGTCCCGGGAGCCGATGGAGGGCACGGGAGGAGCGGGATTGGTCCCGGGAGCCGCCGTCGGGAGCCGCCAGGGAGCGCTGGGACACCGGTCTGAGCTCAGTCACCCGCAGCAGGAGGAGAGAACGGGATGTGATGAGGAGCGTGTGCCTGTGCCCGCCTGTCCCCGGAGGTTCACCTGCAATTCCAGAGGCCCCAGGTGCCGATAAACCAGGCACCATCATCGCTCGGGATGTGCCACAGTGACACTGCTCGTGCCAGTGCAAGTGTTGGAGCTTTAGAGCTGTGCCAGTGCCTTGGCAGGGACCCCTCGAGCCTCGAACACATCAACAGCTGAGGAGTTCGATGTCTCAGCCGACAGAACACAGCAAATAAATGAGATAAGGCAGCCTGAGCTCGAGCTCTGGTCACTGCCCTGAGCCCTGGGCTCCTGCAAAAGTGTCCCCAACACCTTCCTGACAGACCCGAGCTACCAGCCTGGCAGGGGACTGGGGGGGCTGTGCCAGGGCTGTGCCAGGGCTGTGGCAGGGCTGTGCCAGGGCTGTGGCAGTCACAGCCACAGAAACATCAATAGAAGGTGGAACTGTCTGGGCCCGGGTGGGACCTCAGCTTAGCACAGCCCCCCCCTGGAACCACTGCCAGAGGGAGGCCGTGGGCAGGGATGTGACTCACGGCACACTCTGGGATGGAGAGCTCTGAGCAAAGGAACAAATCAAGCCCTTGTGAATGAGCCCGGCTGAGTGCCACTGCCACATTCCTGTTGAGGCTCAGGACATTTCAGGATCCACTCCAAGATCCTTCTTTATTCATGTGTCTAAAAATAGGTCTTGGTGACTGGATTGCCATGGTCAAACAGAGCAGAGTAGCCAAAATACCTCCAAACACTGAAATCTTTGGACTCCAAAAATGACCAGGGAGGTGACAGATCTCCAATGAAGCTGAATCAAATGTTGAGGGTGTCAGTTTTTGTCCTCTGACATAACATCTCTCCTTTCCAGCTGATGATTTATGAGTAATAATGTTGTAGTTATCATACATGAAGACCCACGACTGGAAAACCCTTGCCTGGGGGAGGTTAAAACAAACAGATGAATCCCACAGGTACTTTTCCCTGTCATTAATATGTCTCCCAGAATTTCATCAGTGCTCTGAAGACTGGTTTGAACAACATGTCAACTTTTTTCTCCATTTCTTCCCATGAGTCAACATCCTGTCTTTTGTCCACTTTTCTCATGAATATCCTGAGGTGGCAGAATCAGACTATCAATAAATCGCTATAAATCATTACTTGTTTCCATGGCTTTCAGGGAAAGAATAAAACTTTTCCTTGGCTGTGTAACTGCGTTCATAGAGCCAGTTGTACCAGAGCCAAGCAGAGGGCAGAGCAGGTTTTCTGGAGATGCCCCTGAGCCCCATGCAGTTGGTCAGCCTGGTGGGATCTGGCACTCGAGGGCCCAGCCAGACTGAGGGACTTTTAGCCCAATCCTGTAAAACATCATGCACTGGGTACCCTTGGCTGTGAAATAAAGGTTATTGGCTGCATTATGGCCTACAGCATGTTACCCTATTCCATGTGCCTCTGGGGTATGTTTTGAGTCTTCAGGCTTGGGATCAGGTCTGTCTGCCTTTGGGCAGAGTGCTTCCTTCTGGTGACATGGTGCAAGTGGGAGTTTCATCATCACACTTTTTATGAAATGCTGCAAAGTTTCCAGAAAGCATGTTGTAAAAATGTTGCCCACATTCTCATTCGCATTTCTTCTTTTATCCCCTTTATTATTTTAGATAGAAATATCAATCAGAGGTGTTATTAAAGCACTTTGAGTCTGCCATCACCTCGAGCCGGAGGGATGCCCCTGACAGCTGCTTCATCACACGCTGCCAGCTCTGCCTTCAGGACTTGTGCAATTTACATCATTTGCAGTCACTCAGGAAGGTCATCACAAAGTTAAAAGACGATAAACTCAGCAAAATACCAGCCAAAGGAGATTACTCACAGCCACTTATGCAGGCTGCACTTCTTGTGTTTGGAGAGATGCTCCAGCTTAGAGGCAAAGCCATGGCTTTGCAGGAAGGAACAACTTTAGCTGATTCCTAGAATTGTTCCTCTTCTCCTGTCTCCAACACACTCCGAGTTAAAGTGGGCTCCTGGTGAAAGGCCACCCCAAAGATTTTGTCCTGTGTTGGATGAGGCTGATGTGAGTGGACTGTGTGTTGCCTAAAGGTACCAAAACCTCCCTGTGGATCAGCAGGCTGGAGCAAGCCCTGCAGCAAGGGCCAAGGAAGGCTTCCTGCTGCAAAATTCAGGATGTTCTCCTGACTATACACATGCAGTTAGGTTATAAAATGCTGGCAGCTGTTGGGGGTGTCACAGGAGATTGTGGGTG